ACATATCTTGGTTGCAGGCTCCTCCCTGGCCCAGGCCCTGGTTGGGCACATGCAGGAGGCAAATAATCAATGTGTTTCTCTCACATCAACATGTCTCTCTGTCTTTCCCTTTCTCTTCCACTCTCTCTCTAAAAAAAAAAAAAAAAAAATCAATGGAAAAATATCCTTGGGTGAGGGTATAAAAAAAAAAAAAACACGAAGAGGAGAGAAGCTGTTAGCAAAGAGGCGGAGGGGCAGATCAGGAGGGCCTCGTGGTCTCAGAGGACATGCCTGTCCAGGCCACCAGTCTGAAAGCAGAGGGACTCGCCTGGGTCTCTGAGGACTGTAGGAGAGCGGGCGGGACCCATGAGCATCTCCCCTGCTTCTCCCTCAGGAGCCCTGGAGTCAAACCTCCGATCTGCGGTGTCTGCCTCCCCCTGGCCTGTTTCTTCATGTATCAAGTGGGAGGGTGGGGCATGGTGGGGTCAACTCACTCAGTGCCCCTCATGAACCCAGTAGGGAGGCCCCGGCTTCAGTCAGCTCCTTTCCATGCTTCCCTAGCTTGCCAAGTGTCCCCTTCACGCCAAGCCTGCCTTGACCAGAACGCAGTCTACCTTCAACAGATCTGATGGAGATACAGACTTAAAAACCAACACCCTATAATTCTTCTTGTATAAATACAGTGTTAATCCCATTGAGGGGGAAAAAAAAAAAATCAACGTCCTGTAAAATGATGCAGCCAGTATGGAAAACAATATGGAAATTTCTCAAAAAATTACAAATAGAGCTGCCCATATAGCCCAGCAATTGTATTTTATCTGATGGAAACAAAAAAAAAACAAACATTAATTCAAAAAGACACATGCATCTGTATGCTCATTGTAGCATTATTTACAACTAGAGGCCCAATACACAAAAATTATGCACTGGGAGAAGGGGCTCCCTCAGCCCGGCCCGTCTCCTCTCACAGTCCGGGAGTCCTCAGGAGATGTCCTGCTGATGGCTTAGGCGGCTGGGCTGATCAGGGGAAGGTGCCACCCCCATCACCCCGCAGCTGCTGCCACTGCTGGCCGTGGCAGCTGCGAGGCCCGAGCCCCCGGCCTCGAATCCACCAGAATTCACACCTGCCTGAGCCCCATGCCTCGCAACCACCGGGGCTCAAGGCTGCCTGAGCCCACGGCTTCCTGAGCCCCCGGCCTCACAGCTGCTGTGGCTTTGTGCAGATGGACGTCCAGAAGACATCCGCCCTAATTAGTATATTACCCTTTTATTAGTATAGACTAATAGCCCTGCGCATGAATCTGTGCACCAGTAGCTTGCTGCCGCTTGCCTCAATTGGCTCCACACCCACAGCTGCTGGTAGCTTTCTGCTGCTCTCCACCCACTGCCCCACCCTCCTGGAGCTCTCTGCCTGCTGCCCCGCCCTCCTGAAGCTCCCCCCACTTCTCCCACCTACACCCCCACCCCCTCCTTATTACCCTCCCTCCCTGGCTCATAGCTTGCTACCCTGTCCCCTCCAGTAGCTTTTTGCTGCCCAATGGTAGTTTGCTGCCTCACCCTCCTGCAGATCGTGATCTGATTGCTATGTGGTTAATTAGCATATTCCTCTCTTAGTATATAGGATTATATAGGATAGCCAAGACAATGAAGCAATCTAGGTGTGGGTAAAGAGAGGTGCTGCATATATACAACGAAATATTATTCAACCATAAAAATGAAATCTTACTATTTGCAACAATGTGGAGGGTATTATGCTAAGTGAAGTAAGTCAGGCAAAGACAAGTACCATATGATTTTACTTACATGTGGAATCTAAAGAACAAAATAAATGAACAAATAAAACAACACAAAAAGACCCTCCTAAATTCAGAGAACAAACTAAGGGCTGCCAGAGGGGACTGAGGTGAGGGAATGGGTAGAAAAGGAGGATTAAGAAGTACAAACTCCGGGTTATAAAGTAAGTCATGGAGATGTTGTGTACAGCATAGGGAATACCGTAAATAATATTGTAATAACGATGTTACTAGACTTGTGATGATCACTTTGTGTAAAGCACGAAATATTGAACCACGATGTGATACTCCTGAAACTAATATAATACTCCATGTCAACTATAATTAAAAATGAAATGTTAGAAACACAATAGCTTGCTCTCCCTCCCGGGAGCACGCCCGCGCCTTTCTTCCCTCTCACGTGTGCATCTCCTAAAGGGTCCCCATGAGATCTGCAGCCAGGGGAGCAATGAATCGTGGCATCGCCTCCCGGCTAACCCCCGAACCTGTCCCCAGGGCCCCCTTTGGCTTTCCAGTGAGCCAAAGCGGTCCTCCTGGGCTCATTTCTTCTCTGTAACGTTTCTAGGGGCCAAAGCAGCCCAGCGAGGCCCTCTCCTGTTGTTCTATCCTAAGCCCTCCCTTGTTCCACGGTCCTCAGCTTTAATAAATGTACTCGCAAAACAAACAAACAAACAAACAAATAAAATTTCAATTTAGAAAGGCAACACAAAAAAAGTAAAATAAATAAATAAAACCATGGGAACAAAAACTGCCTTGGAGGAGGTCAGAAGGAAAAGTGCTAATCTCATCTGGGCTCAGGCAGGGCTTCCTGGAGGAAGTGACACCGGGCAAACTTAACGAGTGGCAGTGAGCTCCCTGAAAAGCCCAGCAAAGCTCCCATCTGCTTCTTTTTATGTTTGAATGAAAGTCTTACAAATTAATTCTGATACTTACTACGACATGGATGAGCCTTGGGGACATTATGCCAGACAGAAAAGACAAATACTATGAGACTCCACTTACATGAGGTGGTAGAGGAGTCAGATCCATAGAGACAGAAAGTAGATGGGGGTGCCAGGGACTGAAGGCGGGGGAGGGAAAACTGTTGTTTAATGGGGACAGAGACTCAGATTTACAAGATGAAAAGAGTAAATGGATGACGGCGATTGCACAACGATGTGAATGTACTTAGTACTACTGAACTATGTACATAGTTATGATAGTAAGTGGAGTGGCCAGATTATGATGATCTCTGAACACATAATAATCTGGCCCCTCAGTGTATTTGTTTCTCAAATGGGTACCAAAAGTATTCTAGTCTTTTGCTGGAGATTAACCACCTATTTGCCCTGAGCTTTTTATCAGCCAGTGCAAAGGGGAAAACTGATCAGGTGCATGATTTATAATATCTTTGATATCAAATAAATGAGGTACTCAAGAGAAGTACATTGAGTGGCCAGATTATTATGCGTTCAGAGATTATAATAATCTGGCCACTCAGTGTGTGTATGTGTATGTATTATATTTTAAACAATTTCAGAGAAGAAGGGAGAGAGAAAAAGAGATAGAAACACCAATGATGAGAGAGTATCACTGATCAGCTGCCTCCTGCACACACACCCCTGGGAATCGAGCCCACAACCAGGACATGTGCCTGATTGGGAATCAAACTGTGACTTCCTGGTTCATAGGTAGATGCTCAACCTCTGAGCTACATGGGCTAGGCTATGTTATGTACATTTTAACACAATAAAAAAAACTGGGGGGGAAAACTTATGCATTAAATCATATCAAATAAAGAACACATTAAACTTGAAAAACTGGTGGCTATTTTAAATTTGAATGAATTCAGATAGATTGAAATTTGTATGGGGTTTTTAAAAAAATTCTTTCCTTGGAACTGATGACAAATTGGCGAACCAGGCAGATTTAGCTCACAGACGGGTCTGGAAGGCCAGCGCCAAGGTTTAAACACATTTATCAGCTCTTTTCGTGGTGCCGCGGAGGCTGTCGGCTGCTTCAGGATGAAGCTCAACATCTCTTTCCCAGCCACTGGCTGCCAGAAACTCACCGAAGTGGACGATGAGCGCAAACTTCGTACCTTCTATGAGAAGCGTCTGGCCACAGAAGTTGCCGCTGACGCTCTGGGTGAAGAAAGGAAGGGTTCTGTGGTTCGAATCAGTGGTGGGAAGGACAAACAAGGTTTCCCCATGAAGCAGGGTGTCTTGACCCATGGCCGAGTCCGCCTGCTGCTGAGAAAGGGCACTCCTGTTACCGACCCAGGAGGATTGGAGAGAGAAAACGCAAATCTGTTCGGGGTTGCATTGTGGATGCCAACCTCAGTGTTCTCAACTTGGTCCTTGTGAAAAAAGGGGAGAAAGATATTCCTGGTCTCACTGACACCACTGTGCCTCCTCGCCTGGAGCCCAAAAGAGCCAGCAAAATCTGCAAACTTTTCAATCTCTCTAAAGAAGATGATGTCCGAAAATATGTTGTGAGAAAGCCTCTAACCAAAGAAGGTAAGAAACCTGGGACTAAAGCACCCAAGATTCAGCGTCCGTTACTCCACGTGTCCTGTGACACAAACGCAGGCGTATGGCTCTGAAAAAACAGCGCACTGAGAAGAACAAGGAAGAGGCCGCAGAATATGCTAAACTTTTGGCTAAGAGAACGAAGGAGGCCAAAGAAAAACACCAGGAGCAGATTGCGAAGACACGTAGACTGTCCTCTCTGAGAGCTTCTACCCCTAAGTCTGAATCCAGTCAAAAATGAGATTTTGAAACTAACAAAGAGAGCAAATGTCAAAAATAAATAAATAATAAATAAATAAATACACACATTTATCAAATGCGGCCGACGTGGTAAACCGACCTGTGTGCACTCTGTGTGGACCACATAACGTACTCTCAGCACAGCCCAGTTGTGTCTCCGGATATGGGGGTAAAGCGACTCACCCCCAGGCTCCCCTCGGCACTTCAGCCAGGTGCTGTGAGTCTCCCTCTGCACTTGGAACCATTTCCCCACACGGCCTCGCCAAAATAGGAGCTACTTGCCACGTTTCCTCTTCCGATTTCACATAATCAACGGGTCTCCTGGCCTTTCCTGAAGAATCAAGACCTTCGCAGCCTGGGCTCCTTTCTCTGTCTGACTCACCCAGATGGAGGATTTCTGACCACAGTCTGGGAGGAGATCCCTGGGCCCAGGAGTGAAGTGAGTGGAGATACATACACCTGCTCGGTCACCACTCACCTCGGAGTGTCCAAGACCCGGATGACAGTTGAGATGAGGCGGCCGTCCCTTGAAGTCACCTGTGCCACATACTGGGGTGGCCCCAGGCCTGTGGCCTCCACGACCTTGGAGAAGGCAGGGCTGCTGGAGCAGTCACATAGGGAGCCAGGGAGGTGGCAGCAATCTCCCGTCGTCATGGCCACAAGGAGCACCGTGTCCTCAGGGCCTGAGGCCCATTGTCCCAGGAGCCTGGGGAGAAGCCAGCAGGGAGGGGAAGGGCAAAGTGAGTGATAGGACACAGACCAGGGTTTGAATCCAGCTCTCTCAGCCTCAGTTGCCCAATCTGTAAGATAGGGCTTTGTAGGGGTTGTGAAGACTCAAAAAGGTTACACACGCAACTCAGCCCAGGCCTAGCACACACCAAGGACTTGGTTATATTACCTCTAACTCTCCTAAAATAAATAAAATAAAAAATAAAAAAAAAGATAGTCTGCTCCAGCCTTCAGAGCTTCCAGGCTCCCCAAAAATTCACCTTAACAGCATCTAAAAATTACTGAGCACCTACGGTGTGGCATATCCTTTACTTAGGGTTTTTCAGTGCCAGAGCCATGCCAACCAACCATGTGGAGAATGGTTCTCTGTGGACTGAATTCCTAGGACTGGGCTCAGAACAGATAAACCGACCTCTGAGTGGGGCAGAACAGAGCTAGTCATTTGGCCCCACAGACAAGGATGGTGTCACCTTGACCTATCTGGTTCATGGCCTCTTCTTCTTCTTCTTCTTCTTAATATATTTTATTAATTTTTAAAAATATATATTTTATTGATTTTCTATAGAGAGGAAGGGAGAAGAATAGAGAGCCAGAAACATCGATGAGAGAGAATCATCAATCAGCTGCCCCTTGCACACCCCCTACTGGGGATGTGCCCGCAACCAAGGCACACGCCCCTGATGGGAATCGAACCCAGGACCTCTCAGTCCGCAGGCCGACGCTCCATCCACTAAGCCAAACCGGTTTCGGCTGATTATATATATATATATATTTTTTTTTTTTTTTTCCAGAGAGGAAGGGAGAGGGATAGAGAACTAGAAACATCAATGAGAGAGAAACATCGATCAGCTGCTTCCTGCATACCACCCACTGGGGATGTGCCCACAACCAAGGTACATACCCTTGACTGGAATTGAACCTGGGACCTTACAGTCCACAGACCGACGCTCTATCCACTGAGCCAAACCGGGTAGGGTTCATGGCCTCTTCTTGCACAGCTCTGAACTCCTTGGCACTTCAGGCCATCAAGGAAACGGCCCAGGCTGGGGAGGACCTTGACAGCCTCTGTCCCCATTGGAGCAGCGCTCTAAGCCACCTCTGTTCCGAGGTGAAGCCATGGAGACAGCTGGAGCTTCAGACAGCAATCCGAACTCCGTTCTGGGTAGGTGACTTTAGCAGGATTTGGGCCCCCAGTCCGGGGTCTGACCTGCCAGAAGGAACCCTTAGCAACCCCTTTGTCCCTTCCAGAACCAGCCAGAAGATTTACGTGCTTCCCTCTGGGAATTTTGTGATTCCAAGGCCACCTGTACTGGCCTCCAGAAGCCCCTCTCAATGCTTCTGGAGGCCAGTACAGGTGCCCTGAAGCTAAGGGTCTGTCCCCAAGTTCTCACCCTTTATCTCAGGAGCTTTGAGCCAGAGACCCCAGAAATACTCACTGATGTACCCCACAGTCAGCTTTAACCAGTTCCTGCCAGTTAAAATCTGAAACCTGCCGAAGCCGGTTTGGCTCAGTGGTAGAGTGTCGGTCTGCGGACTGAAGGATCCCAGGTTCGATTCCGGTCAAGGGCATGTACCTTGGTTGCAGGCACATCCCCGGTGGGGGGGAGTGCAAGAGGCAGCTGGCCGATGTTTCTCTCTCATCGACATTTCTACCTCTCTATCTCTCTCCCTTCCTCTCTGTTAAAAATCAATAAAATATATTTTAAAAAAATAAATAAAATAAAATAAAATAAAATCTGAAACCCAAGGAGACAGAGTCAGAGGAAAGCAGCATAAGTTATTGACTAACTTTCTGCACCGGGATAGCCTGTCAGCGGATCACTGCTCTCTGAACAGCTCGACCAGAGGTATCATAGCCCAACATATGCTTCTGAGCCTCCACATGGAGGCCGACCAGTATGAGCCAGAGGCAGGAGGAGCCGAGAGGAAGGGTGTGTGACAGAGATAACACCTGCTGTGGTGCGTATGCCGCTGTCCCTTCATGTGCATACAACCAGAACTTCTGGCCCAGAGGTCAGCAGGAAAGTCAATGGCCTATCCAAGAGAATGTTCCTGCACCCCCAAGGATCGACCTTAACATTCCTGCAAGGAATTGGGCACTACAAGAATAATCACAGCTCCTATATATTACTTCTACCATTTCTTTTACTATCGAGGGGGGGGGGGGAAACTCACTGGTATATCTGCTAATGTAAGGCCTGCAAATGGCCAAAATAATAACAGTAGTTACTCTTTCTTCGGGACTTACTACGTACTAGTACTGTGCTCAGCTCACTGAACTCTAAAAAATGAAGTGTCCCTTTCAAAGGTCACTCCCCAGAGAGGCCTTCCCTGACCATCCTGGCTAACATGCCATTGATGTCCACCTTATTGCCCTCACAGACTGTGCCCCACTCCGAGATGCTCTTACTTCTTCATCTGCTTGTGTAACCACTTCTGTCTTCCAGGCCTTAGGGAGCTCTATAAAGGAGGGACTGAATTGGACTTGCTCTCTGCGGTCCCCAGCACCTGACCCTGTGTCTGGCGTAGAGCGGCTGAGTTAATTTCTCAGTCCCTACTCTGTGTCATAGCAGACCCGTGTTATTAAGAAGAAGGTCCCGCCCTGCCACCATTGCTCAGTAGGTTGAGCGTCATCCTGTGCACCGAAAGGTTGCTGGTTCGATTCCCGGTCAAGGCATATGGGATGTGGGTTCAGTCCCAGGTCAGGGCACCTAAAGAAGGCAAAGTTTCTCTCTCTCTCTCTCAAATCAATAAAAACATTTCAGAAAGGAAAAAAGAATAAGGTCTCTTGATTTGCCAGTGCCCATGGAGGGAATCAGGTGTTTAAAGGCTAGAGGTCCTTGCAAACCACAGAGGTCAGGGCTCAGAAGAAACCAAACTCAAGGTTGGACACAAGGATAGAATGGCTGCTGGGATGGGAAAGGAAACCAGTGCCTATGGCAAACTTGCTTCAGTGCTCTAGAGATAAATTTCACTGAATCTTCTTCAGTTACTTGCTCAAAGTCACAAAGCTAAGAAGGCACAGTGCCGGAATTAACTTAGTCCAGCCCTAGCTGGTTGCTCAATGGTTAAAGCATCAGCCCATGGACTGAAGGGTCACAGGTTCTGCTCTGGTCAAGGGCACTCCATTGCAGGCTCGACCACCTGCCCCTGTTGGGGCATGTGTGGGAAGCAACCAATTGATGGATATTTCTCTCTCTGTCTCTCCGCCTCCCTTCCACTCTCTCCAAAAGACCTGGGTGTTTTCAAGTCCTGACTCTGTCATTGAAGATGTGTGTCCTGGGACAAGTCACTTTGCTTTTCTGGGCCTCATCTTCTCTGTCAACTGAGTTGGAGTTGGTGGACTGTGTCTGCCGAGTCTCCGTTCCTCCAGGGAAGCTCACCCTTGGCTAGGCCTGTCTCGGTGGCACTCCGGCACCACAACCTTTCCACATCTGCCCCCGTCTCCCTTACTGAAGGAAAGAAACTAAAGGAAAAGAAGGCAGGGGATCCTAATTCCCTACAGTATGATCTCAGGCCAGCTGCCTCGGTCTCTGGTCTTGGTTTACTCATCTGTAAAATAGTAATAAACATGATACCTAGCTGAAAATTCCATAAATATTAAGAAGTCAATAAATAGGCCCTGGGCTGGACAGCCCTTTGAGTTAGAGCATCATACCATTAAACAAAGATTTCGGGTTGGATCCCTGATCAGGGTACAAACAAGAATCAACCAATGAATGCATAGGTAAGTGGAAGAAGAAATCAATCTCTCTCTCAAAAAAAAACAAACATGTTTTTAAAGTTAAAAAAAAATAAGTCAATAAATATTACCTCTGGGAATGGCAAGAAATATTCAAAGTGAGGAAGAACAAGAACCTACAACTAAGATTACTCTTCCCAGCAAAGCCATCATTCAGAATTGAAGTTCAGATAAAGAGCTTCACAGATCAGAAAAAGCTAAAGGAGTTTATCACTGCCAAACCAGTATTATATGAAATGCTGAAAGGTATTCTTTAAGAAGAGGAAGAAGAAGAAAAAGGTAAAGATAAAAATTATAAGCAACACTGTGGAAAAATCAATAAAATATATATTTTTTAAAAATTATAAGCAACAAATACATATCTATCAAGAAATGAATGTAAAAATCAAGTGAATAAAAAAATCTAGTGAACAGAATAAACTAGTGAATATAATAGAATCAGAGGCATAGAAAGGGAGTGGACTGACAATTCTTGGACCGGGGGGTAGGGTTGTGGGGAGTATGGGAAAAGACTGGACAAAAATCGTACACCTATGGATGAGGACAGTGGGAATGGGGGGAATAAGGGCAGAGGGTGGGGTGGGAATCAGGTGGAGGGGAGCTATTTTTATAAATGAATCTGCAACCTTAGCATGTGCTCTGACTGGCAATTGATCCACCACTTTCTGGTGTATGGTTCAATGTTCTGCTGTTACCCTGACCCCAAATTCCAGCCTCCAAAATTGGAATACATTTCTGTTGTTTAAGCCAAACAAATTTATAGTATTTTGTTATGGCTGTCTGAGCTGACTAATCTATACTAATAAAAAGGTAATATGCTAATTAAACTGGGTCAAGAAGACAAAAAAATAAATAAATAAATAAATAAATAAATAAATAAATATTACCTCTTATTATAATTGCCAGTTCACATACAGAGTTGAGAGGGTTTGATGAGACAAGGCACAGCGTGGCACCCAGTAAGTGCTCGATAAATGCTCACTTTTAAAAAAATGTAAAAAAAATAATAATAATAAATAAAATAAAAAGTAGAGCCTGTGAAATGCATTCATTCCTCTTCATTCACCATAAGGGAGGCTCCTGCTCCTATGTGCCCTTCAGTAACTCCCAGGCCCTGCACTGGAGGTCAGGTTCGAAGCCCAGTTCTGATCTTATTTGCTGTGCAACACTGGGCAAAACCTTG